CTCAAGCCCGATTGACGATTTGAATTAATTATCTTATTAGAATGAAGCAGGTTTTCGCATAGTGCAAGTATTCAACATTCACTATTTAAATAATTACACTATTGGGAGCTTAGTTGTCAAGCACGATTACAGACTTTATTATGTATGACCCCTTTTGACTAAATCTAGGACACTTTTTGTACTATTATCCCAATTGGTATTCCTACGGCATATTCTCCAGCCAAGCAGAATGTGAAGAAGCTGTGGTTTGTTTGTATGGTTCTGTAATTAAATGCATGTTTTAAAAGGAAAAGATCAAATTTCATTTCACTAATGCAATCACATGTCTAAAAGTAGTGGTAAACCAAATCACAATATCTAATGGTAAATCTTTGCTGTATATGTAGAGACAGTGATTAAAGCTAAAAAGTATATTTGGTCAGGCACAACTCCTTTTTTCTTTCCCTTGTGGGATCTGCAACTACATACAACTAAGTAGTATTAAAAAGTATTATCCCAATTGTAGAAGAGTCAGACAAAAAGAGAATTAAAAGGGTATGAACAAACTACATGTATGTTGAACAAACTGATGTACTGTATTGTCCCAAAATGGAGCTCTCCTGTAAATGCTCAACTGGCTTTTAGCAGAACTCTAAAAAATGGTCTCTATAAATTGTTATATAAGTTTTATATATAATAATGCAGGATTATAACAATCATGTACACCATAAGTATATTTTGTCACAAATTCTTAATTTTATTTTAGATTTACATTTTAGCTGCAGCAAATGTTTGTGGTATGATAATAGACTATTTTCTTATATTCTCTTACCAATATGCATGAAATCAAACGTAAATACAGGACAAAGATAATAGCATTGTAGTGGTGTCAAAACATTGCAAGAGATTAGATAAATATGAAAGTTTTTTCAAGAATTTTCACATTTAAAATTGTGCTATACACATTTGATGGTAAGTAATTTTGATGAAGCAAGCGTATCTAAACGCCATGTTTCTTGCGAAAAGATTCGTATTTCAACGTTAAACTATTAAAGAAAGAAATCCAAGTGAAAAAAATCATTCAATTTTAGCAACACATATTTGGTAACTATCAAGAATACTGAAAATACCGGTAGTTTATTTACAGTAGGTACTGTTGAATGCACTTCTAACTCACATAAAAATTAGTCCAGACTCAAAGCAGAATATTTGTTAATGAATTCAGGTATATTTAACCTATATGATTGTATAAAAATATAAAATAGCTATCGAGAGTACATTTACCGTAGCTTGTTACTGATTGTACTTTTTGGCTATATCTGTATTTCATTTTTGTCATGTGCTCTTGATTAATGTGTAAATCGAAAAACATCTTAAGAAAACATACAGGTTAAAGAGTGTTTGGTTAAATATCCCTGGTGCTAAGAGCACACTTTATATTATAATTTCTATTGTACTTTATTAACTAAATCATCCTTTTTGCTAAGTGTATATAGAAAGTTAAATAACAATGAAAATATGTTTATGACTGTCAGTGAAGAATGATGGCCGCTAACTGCGGAGGTCAATGACCTAATGTCATTGTTTCCTTTTGCTGAATAGATACTCATATTGAATTTCATACAGGGAAGTCTCCAGAGTATTGTAGAGTAGAAACTAACTCTTTAATTAATTCAAGGCTCAAATGTGAAAAAGTAGTAGAGGTGATTATTACATTATATTGTTATGAAAATTAACAGTGATGATAGGATATATACATGTACAGGTGTGTATCAAATCTATTTTCCTGTAGAGAACTTTGTTCAAAGATAATTACATCATTATTTGAATTGTTGAAATTTGTTACTAATACATGTAATATAGTTTCAACAAGTTAACAATTTAACTCTTTTATTTTTCAAGAAGATTTAAGATAAAATACAATACTTGAAATTCAATTTCACAGGTGGACTAATTAGTGGCAATAAAATCCAGTGAATATACTGTAGTACACTGTAGCCTCGCTATAACAAACTCTTTGGGGGACATACAATTAGTTTGTTATAGTGAAATGTTCATTATAATGAAGTACATAATACATTGGGTTTGTTGTGAGCGGGAGACACGCTATGTGTTCATTATATCAGGAAGTTCATTATAACGGTGTTCATTATACTGAGGTTACAGTGTATATATTATTTTCACACTGGTTTACAAGAACATGAAAATCATAACTGTGAATATAATATATTTGTACATGTCATGTGAGATAGTGGTTTTCGAGGTATGTAATGGCAAACTTGAGCTTCAACCTGAGCTTGCTCAGAGTCAACCTGAGCTCCACCCTGAGCTTCAACTTGAGCTTCAACCTGAGCTTCAACTTGAGCTTCAACCTGAGCTTCAACCTGAGCTTCCTCAGAGTCAACCTGAGCTCCACCCAACTTGAGCTTGGGAAATTATTTAGTATACTGATTAGTTTTTCATGCAAATTTATCTTAATTTATCATTTGAATAAAATATCTTTTTTGTCCAATACGTTTAGGATAGTATATCTAGTTTGGGTGAAAATCTATACAAATTAATACTGCATATTAATTTGGTAGATTTAATTTGGTTTAAATCACATGTGGATATTGCACAATTCTAAAGAACTTTCGGAAAAACTCTGATCTAGATCTTTATTTCTGAAATAAAGTTTCTATTAAAACATTCAATTTTAGATATTGTTCATCAATCATTTTT